TTTGAAAAAAATAATCGTGGCTATTGTATCGTCCGAAATTATTTTTTATTTTGCACAAACAATATACAGTTTAACCTGATTTTAACAATATCGGATGTAACGACAACCCTAATATAGTGTCAAATTTTTATTGGTTCCATGATTTTACTATACTAGATAATGTTAAAAAAAAACCTACTTGTAACGGCATAAAACCGTGTTTTAATGTCATATTTGAAGCACTCCCAAATTTACAAAATTAGATTACAAATTTTATTTAACAAAGAAAATACTGTGTGTTCAGCCCTAGGGTCAGAGTCCACTTCCTAGAATGACTGTGGGTGGTACTCTCACCACCTGACTTTGGTTTGCCTGTTTGTAGAGAGAGTCGCCATTTTGTATTTTATTTTGACTCAGTTCTCGGTCCCATGAGTATCTACAAGTCTGGTTTTTTATGCGCACATGATTTGGGCACCTAATACTCTGTACCAAATTGCAACTCCTTACATGTATTCCTTCATACCTCTAAGCTGGTAACACAGCAGGCAGTACGATTTTATAAACAAGACATAGTCTTGTCAAAAATACAACAAAAAATTATCTTATAGAAATTGGGATTGTTTTTTTCATTTGTAAAGATTTTTATAAAACTGTAAATTACAAGGTGTTTTTTATAAAAATGATTTTATTAGTCAGATTTACATTTTAAATTTACATGATGCATGAGTAAACTTAAAATTTAATGAAAAGTTTAAAAAAAAATATTTATTCTCAATTTTTACAAACAAAATGTTTGAAATGTGTTTAGATGAATATTTTTTATTCAAATTCTCTTTTAATATGTATGTGTGTATACAAATACACTCATTACAAAATTGACAAAAAGTTACACACCAAGGAGATGTTGGAATTGAACAAAACTTTATTAGAGCGAATGTATGGAAAGTAGTAATAAGTGATTATAATGTATTATACAAAGAGACCATTTCCTGTGGAATAGCAGTTTAATTTAAAGGAATCTTTAGTATGTTTAAGACTTCTTACCTAGATACAGCAATGATATGATTTGAAGGCTGGCATACAGGCACCATGTGCTATCCTGTAATATATTTTCTCACAGGATCTATCACATTCTGAATGCCTTTCCAGATCTTATGCCCTTGTAGATGGTCAAAGCTGACATACAAGGAAGGATTTGTAGGATCTGTCTGGCCCTACAAATGCTTCCTTGGTCTGTCACAGACACACACTTCCTTGGTCTGCCCTAGCTTTAGAGAAGGCAGACCAAGGAAGTGTGTCTCTGTGACAGAGGTCTTCCTGGGAAGCTCTAGCTGTGTGTAACTAAGTATTATTTAGCTGGAAAATCAGCTGTTTCCCTGTCATAAAACCTTGAAAATTTCATGATGAAACCAGANAGAAAACTCTTATTTTAGAAATGTTTGGTATATCTATTGGTATTTCTATATAATAATAATATTTTTTCAATTTTATAGCATAAAAATTTAATCTTTGCTATTTCTTTTTCCATTCATTAAAAAATTCATTTTCATATTTGAAAACTTTTCAATATGATATTGCTTAATTTATTTTAATTTCCTGAAATATTTATTTTAAAAAATTTTTAATATTCTGTATTAAAATATTTTATGCTTTATATTTTACATTCCAATTTGTTGTTATAATGTAAGACAATGATCTATAAATCCTTAATTTCTAATATTACAGTACAGTATTCTATAATTCTGTTTAGTTTTTACCATTACAATTTTCTTTTCATATACAGCCTCTCTCCTGCATTTTTGAAACTTGATATAACATTTTCATACTTTTTGTTTTCTGTGACAGATTCTGATATTTGTTTCTTTGTTAATTTATACATATTTTTATGTATGAAATATATATAAATTTTACATACTGTAGTTCTTTATTATTCTATTATTTGATATTGTGTGATATACTTGGATGAAAGTTGGAGTATATCTTTTTTGTAATTAAAATGTAGATCAAATTATCTATTATCTTCATTGTTGTAAATTTTCCTAGCTTCCCTAAATTTGTGTTGTTCTCCTAGACCAGGGATGGGCATCTTTTTAAGTGTTCATACCAAAATTACCACATCTATGATGCAAAAATCTTCTCATATGCTAATCAAAACTTTTGGAAGCCTATTATTATTTGGTGTCTTAAGTATTGTAACCTTTCCAAATAATCAAAAATTTGCATATACTTTATCCACACTTTAGAAACCCAATAAATTCTTTATGAAACAAAAAATATATATATAAAAAAATATTGGATATTCATTTTTTAAGGTGAGCCCAGTCATCAGTGTGTCCTAGACAATTACTGAGAATTTATAAATATACTAATTACCATATTTAGAATGTTTGTGAATGGTGTTAAAATTATCTTATATAATATTTTTTAGTGTTCTAATTTTATATTTCTAGACTATTTTATCTCTTAAATCTTTGATTCCATATTATTTCTTAAGTACTACTTGAGGTCAAAAACAATATTTTTATGTTTTGGAATAATATAGCTGAAATTACTTCAAAATGTCATTTTGTTCCAGCTTTGAAGTCTATAAATTTAAAGTCTTGAAGATGAAAAGTTTGAAAAACATTATAACAGCAGAAAATATTACACAATACATCATTATAATATCAAACATTAATGTTATATCACTTATACAATAATGTATAATATCAATACAACTGATATTATACTTTTACTATTACATTATGAGCCTTTATATTAGATGTGGTCTATTTTTGTAGCTACAAAAGGATACTATGGATAAGGATACATTTTTTAAATATATTATTATCCATAGTCCAAATATGAAATTAATAGCTTCTTACTGTATGCCCTATCACCCTTAATTCATCGTACTATTTAACATTACATGCAGTATACAGTAATTATATGTAATTTTTAGATTGCATTTTAGCATTTTCAATTAATAGTGAGATTGCGGCTGATGTTTTCATCTCTAAAACATGAATGTCGAATGTTGAGCACCACTTACAAGATAGCGACATTCGACGTTCACGTTTTAGAGATGAAAACATTGCCGCAACCTTGCTATTATGTAGTTTTTAATTCATTTGCTTAATACAGAATATTACAGTGCATTCAGGACTGGTGTAAAGTTAAATAGCACTCTCCTGCAAAATAGAAATTAGCATGTCTTCAAAATGGAAGATTAAATATAACAGTTATATTACATATAAATAAAAGCTTATTAGCACCTACTACAAATTCATGTGAATTAGCCTTATCATTTTTAATATATTCATAAATTTTTTTAGATATAACTATATAGATCATTCAGGTGTCAACTTGGGCCAACTTAAGCACCCATGGTCCATAGTCTTGCTTTAAAATTTTTCTGGAATTTTGTTCCTTGATACCTTTCCTTACCTTGCATCTGGTATTTACCTGTATTTTTATTAATATTAAACTTTCATTTAAATGTTTATTTATTTATTTTTTACTCAGCTTTAACTGTTGCTGAAGAGATTGTAGCCAAAATATATAAAAACAGATGAAACAAAAAACTTTATACTCGTAATTCACTTACGTTTCATTCTACAGCTATTGTCAAAAGTTCTATAAAATTTTATTATTACCAAATAGGAATGTAATCAAAGCAGTATTTTTCATTTTAAATATTAAAATAAATATTAATTTATTTTATTAATCTTGAATATCATCAGTTCATAAATATTTGTAAATGATTCATATGATGTAAGTACTATTTAAAGTAATGTGATAATAGATCCAGAAGACCCAAACAGGGCTAACAAATAAATTTAAATTTTTGTTGTGTGTCAATGAGGAGGGCTTAAGCCTTTCTTCTCTCTATATCTGCCATTTATAATAAAAATAATAATAAAATTTGTCTTTTAGAATATTTTATTTAGCTTATAACAACTTTTATATCACCATGTTTAACCATCCATACAATTCAAATTTGCAATCTGGTTACTAAGAATCAATGTTTTAATATATTCTGTCACTAGATTAAATCTGTGTTTATTAAATGTTAATGAATGAAAAAAAAGGATGTAGTTGCCAAATATATTATTTTAAAAGTATAAAACTTAAGCAATGATATAGTTTAATTTTCTACTTCACAATTAAATAGTACAAAATTTAACTATAGTTTTGTAGTTTAGCTTAATTTTTTATATTATGATATTTGAAATAAAAAATCTTTATAATTATTATTTAACTATGTAAAATTTACATGAAAATTTGTTTTCAACAAATTGATAGCTTCATTTAATCATTAAAATGTATAAATTACTAGAATAATGATAACTGTATATCTTTAATGAATTAAATTCATTTTTATTTAACAACTATCTGTGTATAATGTTAATTTTTATGTTTTTAAGGATTCACATTTCTTAATTTTTTTCTTAATTAATTATTATAATAATTAATTAAACTTCTTAATTAATTAATTATTTTTAATATGTATTAGAATAAACACTGTTCATAAAAGCTTATTATTTTGAATTGTTTTATAACATTCAAAATTTTTTTATATTTTTAATACTGAAAAATATAAAATGAAAATTCTTAGACATAAAACATGATGAGAATTGATAAAACAAGAATGTCATCCATTGAAATAACAACATTATTTGTTTGTCATTTATTAATTATACCATAAGTAATGAATTTGTAATTTAAAAAAATATAATTTTATAAAATTGTATAAATATGACTCAAAGAAATTTTGAGATAATTATATTTAATTTTATTTATTAAATAAAATTTAACATCATTGTAATGAAAGTGATATTCGATAACAGATAATTTAAATGTAATTTGAAAATATTCTTCCACTTTTTACGAAACATATAGAAAATTTGAATTAGAGAGGATGAATCTTTATATATTATATATAAAGTATTTTTAAAAATTTTGACTCTCATAAAATACAGGATGTTTATAAAATAACTATCAATTTCCTCAAATCACTGACTGATCAATTTATTTTCTAGGTTTTGTAAAGTATGCTGATGACTGAAGAACAAATATAATAGTTGAGATATGTCTATAAAGTTTGACAACAGTTCATTCATAAATTCCAGAATTCCATGACTATCTGAATGAAATTTTTTTGATGAGGTTCAACTAGATTTTGATAACAGAATGTCTTCTATTTTATCACTTTTTAAATTTGATTGTAATACAAATTACAGATTTTAAATACATGTACTTGGTTTCTTAATTTAGTGAATCATATTAATAGAACCATAGATTGAAATAAAAGTTGCTGATTTTTGATGTATTTTATTTTTTAAATATAAAATTAAAAAGTTATCATCAGATGAGTAAAACTTTTGTGATATATTGTTTCTTCCTACTTGATTGCTTGCTGTTCTCTTGGTTGTATATTCTTTGGAATTAAGCACAAATTTGCTATTGAAAACTTATCATATAGGAATACTTTTTTCTAAGGAAAAAGTAGATTTTATTTTCTATTTTTTTATTTAAAAAAAAAATGCATTTTGAGCCATATGCCCCTCTTCAATCCTTATTAGATACAGTACTTCCTGATATTAGTACAGTGAGGCATTTTTACCTTGTTTTTAAAGTTTTTGTTTTTACTCCTTTTATTTGTCAATTTTTTCTATATTTTTAGCAAGGTTTATTTTTTTAATTTTACAGTATTACTAGTTTAAACATTTTTAACACTTAGTTATTCCAGTTGTCACCATTAGTTATATTATAGTTTTATCATTATATGTAATAAGGACTGAAGTGGGGTATATGGCCAGAAATGCATTTCTTTAAAAAAAAACAGAAAATAAAATCTACTTTTTCTATCGTAAAAAAGTGTCCTGCATGATAAGTTCTCCATAGCAAATTTATACCTTATTCCAAAGATTGTTTCTTCCATTGATTTTATGATAAATATATAATTACAATAAATATTTTCAATTTTATCTGTTGCTAAACATTACATAAATATTTCTTTTTTTATCTGTTACATTTCTGAAACTTTTTTATGCTATAAATAAACTTAATTATGATTTTTATGCATTTTTTCTTCTGAAAGACAATATGTGCTGAAAAATAATACTAATGTTTCATTATTACTTATTCAAAATTTTGAATTACTTTAAATAAATTTAAGATATTTTAATCTTTATAAAAAGATAATGATATTTCTACTTGTTAAAATGCAGTTTTTAAATTATTTTGCATTATTAATTTATTAAATAAATAAATTTTTTAAGCTAATTGGATTTAGAAAAATAATTCTCATTATCAATTAAGTTTTAATACATGAAATTAATATATATAATATTTATTACATGCAAATTTTATATGAATGAATAAAGTTCTGATTTATGAATTATAATAAGCTATTTAAAATCTGTAACAACCCAGAATGGAATATAACAATTTATTGTAAAGAATTTTTTAGTGGTAAAGCTAGTTAAATACAGAAAATTTCAACAGTAATGTTTTTCTTTTCTTGGTTTAATCATATAAATAATGAGTACGGAATTACAACTAATTGATGTTATATTATTTAATCATGTCTAATAATTTTTCTCCTCAGTAGCTTTAAGAATACTGCTTTATGACTAGGTAATTGAAAGGATAGTTAAAAACAAAATTTTTCCCACTACTGTTGAATAGTTTTCTTCAGAATGTCACCCTGCCTTTTATTGCACCCTGTAATAAAACTACTTGAATTGCTAAGAATGGGGAAGAGATTGTTTCTGATGATTTTCCACACTTTGACCCTCCCCATTGTAAAAGTAATTGGTGAAACCACTTTGAATTAGTTTGTTGTTAAATGGTTGTGTAAGTTGAAATTACTTAAAAAATTGCTTTTGTGCTTCTCTAATTGGTTTGTTTTCTTGCTGGGAGGATTGCTGTTAGTACTTTTCTGTTAGTTTGAAAAGGATATTCCTGTTAACAACATCTCTCCACACAAGGTAGGACTTTTTAAAATATTATCTAAAGTATATTGATTTAAATTAAACTGTACACTTACAAATGCAAGTTATTTATTATTTACATAGTTTATAGTTAAATGTAAGTTTTATTAATAGGAATATGTTTGATTTTTATTTCATAAACTTAAAAATATTTTCTCTTTAGCTCTGTTGGATATTTGATGCCAGTTGCACTTTGTATTTTTGAAAATAATTTGATTTAATAAGAAAATATGAAGGTATGTTCTATCATAATTTAGCATGTTCTTCAAACTGTAGTATTTGAATAATTATAAACTGGAACTAGAACTTTTTTATTATTAACATATTGCACTTTATAATTTATAAATAACTATTATTATTTTTTTAAGTCATTAAATTGTATTATATCTTGCACATTATAAACTTTGAAATATATATAAATTTTATTTACATTATTTATACAAAAATTAGTTCTGTATATTATTTATTAAATAATTATTAATGAAATAAGCACTGGTATAAAATGCAATTAGTGGGAAAAAAATATAAAACATTTTAAATTTATAGTGAAGGATTCTTCTCATTAAATTTATGATTTAGATAATGAAATTATTATGCATTTTAATTAATTAACTTAAAATGTTTTTTAATGTTTTTATTTATTAATTCTAAATGTTCTCAAATATAATTATAGAGATTTTTGTTTTAAAAACATTTCAGGTATTTTTTAAATTAGATGTGAAGATAGTTTAAAGATTGTGTATTATATGACATTAAGATATCATAAGATTTTTTTGAATAATTCATGAAATTTATGAACGATTATTATTGAAACTAATTAGCATGAAAATCTCAATTGAAATTAATAGAATTATTTAAATATATTTTAACTTTTCATCAACAATATAAATGATTGTAATCCATATTTTGTCTAATTAAAATAGCAGTAGCAAAAATTATTATTTACTATTATTTAATCCCATTTGAGCAATAATTTTTTTTACAATATTTGTATGGCTTTTCCACTTCTACAAGTACTTGTATATACTATTTTACTATTAATTTCTATATTGCACTGTAAATTTTGCAGTGAGGATGCTCTAAAGATATCAATATAGTTTTCACCAGCTAATATTTAATATAACATTATTTTAGTTCTTTCTCTTTTTCTTTCTGATCAGTGTTTCATTCTGCTGTTTTTTTTCCAATTTCCTGATTGATTAACTGTACAAATTAACTATAAAAATTGGAATTAATTACTTAAAAATGCTATAAAAACCAGAAAAAACACTTAATATACAATAAAATATGCTAATTTTATATTCTTGGAAATAAGATCCCATTCCAACTTAAAAATGAACTCCATTTATGTGGAAAAATGTGGAAAAAATAGCAAAAGTTAACTAGGAACTGAGTTTAAATTAATAATAATGTTATGTTGAATCAATTTATTAAATTATAATAAATATCAAAACATAATATAAATTTTGATACTATAAGAGGAGCAAAATTAATTTTAAATAAATATTTTATATTTGAAAATCTCCCCTTTGTTTCTCCAAGTTTTTCCATTATATATTCCAGTTTCAAAGACTTAACAAATAAAATAACAAAATCATTGAGTCTATCCTCACTTGAAAAATTGATTTAATTTGTTTTTTTCAGTGATGAATTAATGAATTTACATCAGCTTTTTTCATGCAATTAATTATCAGTTAAAAAGAAGTCATTAGTTTTATTATTAAGTGATGAGATTTTTCTTGGTGCTAATTGGTAACTAAGTGTTATTCAAATAATTTTAAAAATTATATTGTTTTTTTAAAAATACAATTTAAATGTTAACACATTATATAACGCTATAATGTGTTATATAGGCTACCATTGTGAAATATGGAATTAGAATTCTTCTGCTATGGGATCAAGTAAAAAAATTCCACAAACTATAATTGGGGAAAGCCTAGTCCATGGGACTCTTTGTCTGTCTTTTTTAATTGATGCAATACTGTATTCTATAATCCACAAATCCATAAAAATTAAATAAATAAATAAAAATTTATTGATGTAATTATCTGTTTCCTCTCCCTGGAAAATTTTCTGTGGTCACCTGTAATCATAGTTACATGTTGCATGTTTGCAAGGTGTGAAAGATTTTAGTGCAATAATGAAATAGTAAATAATATAATTAAGAAACTTTATTACTGTATTTGTTTATTATATTTATTTTATTTTAGTCTAGAGCTGAGTGTACATTGGCTCTTATAATTTATTATTTTTGAGGTGTTTAAACCACAATTTAGGCAGTTTTTCATGTTCTAGATCATCATAATTGTTAAGAGTTTTTCCTGTGTATTACTATAGAAGATTATTTCTTCGTCATATCCGATTTTCTTAAAAAATCTACATTGTAATTATCACTACGACGCCAAACTGGCGAATTTTAGAGTTCTAAATAAAATAATTCTTTCGTTATTACAATTATTAAAGAATTATCTTGTATGACATTTATATTTTATTAGATTTTATCATAAACATAAAAAATTAATAAGTTAAGAATAGTCATTCGTTTTTTCTTTTTTTGTTAATAGTTTTGGGAGGATTCAAAAGTAGTTGTTAACATTGAAAACCACAAGTTTTGGTTGGATGAGGGATGCTAGTTGGGGACTGGTAACCCAAATTGCCGCTGACCTTCAAAACAATTACTGTATTTGTTATTCACTTGAAAATCTATAAAATACATTAAAAAACCTAGAAACGTAAATGGAATATATTTCGTTTATTTATTTTTAATAATATAACGCTGAAACAGACCCAGACATAGTCTTGGTCCACTTCTCTCAGACTCTGGCCTAAAATAACCGTTTCATGTAAAAAAAAGACTAAAAAATGATATAAAATTTACTTTGATAAATAGCGAAAATTGTTTTTTATTTAGTCTAATCATATATTTTTATTATTTTCGGAGGGAGTGAGACTATATTTGTGACTGGTCTAACTTTGCCTCTCAAAGAGTTGACATTTAAAAATAAAAATAACGATTTATATTTATTGCTGTCGTAGAAATATCTTTATTGAATCTGATTTTTTAATAACTGTTTAGTTATATTTGTTTGTTTGTCTGCCATATCGGTGAATATGATTTTCTTCTCATTCTTACTTTCCCAGCTGTTATGTATAACAGAGGAAAAGTATAGCGATCGATCGGTCCAAAAATTATCCCCCAGATCTTTAAATTTTTGGACTTAGGACATTGAAACGTCGAGAAATGAAAAAAATTCGGGGTTTTTTCTGTATGTATTGATATAGTGTGTGAGGAGAGGCAGGATTTTGTTCACCCTCTTTGAAGCTTAATAATTCCTGTGCTTTTTGTCGAAAATTTCTGAAATTTCGCAGTGATGTTTGTTTATTAGGGGAATTGATGCTATTAAAATTTGATGATTAAAGGTTGAGGAGATGGAGAGATAAAGGGGTTCGTATGTATCTCCAGTAGGTTCGAACTTAATGACGATTTTACTCATTATACATTTTTTTTTTTTTTTGTAAAACCCATCCCTACCCTCGAAATTAAGCATTTTTGCTGTTTTATAACAGTTAAAAATATAAAAAGTTTTTAAAATAAAATGTCATAACAGATAGCGCCACTAAATGTTTCTAGGAAAGTTAAACAACTTGTTGCTGGATTTTTTCTTTCTACAATTAGTACAAAATTTTCATATTCCAGTTTTAAAAAAGCTTTTTAGTTTAATAATTAATAACGTGAATAGTTGCATTATTAGATTATTCTTTAATTCATTTAATCTTCAGTTTTCTAGTGTGTGTTAGGCCAGTATATTTAAGATGTGTTTGTGTGTTTTGTCGAAATAGTGCTGATTCTTACGTCATTTTGACGTCGTTTTTATTATTTTTTAGAATAAGGAAGCATAAAATGACGTCAAATTGACGTAATGCTGCATACTGTTCTGATTCTGATAAAACGAATGCAGCTTAATCACTTTTATTTGTTTCAATCGAAGTTATCATTATTTGAATAGCATATACAGTATAATTAAAATGCAATAATTAACCCACATTTTTAATAAATTATAGTAATTTAGGTCTTCTCTTTCTTTTTACATTTTGAAATATAGTATGCAATTAAGTTGAATAGAGACGATTTATTTAGAAGGGGTCCCAGGCACTAACATTCACTGCCCTCTCTATCTCTAGCTCTTGACTGTTCTGTTCACATTTGTGAGGGTTCCTGTAGCCACTGATGCACATGCAAATTCTACTAGAGATCGTTCGAAAATTACATAACACTTTGTAACACTTCCATACATATCCCAAAATTATGCAATGCATGTCCATGATCACATATCCCTTAATTATACCAAAGAATAATTTTGAATATAAAGTACATTCATTATTCATTAATTACATATATTTGGTACAGTATAGTACAAAGCAGTTACATCAGTAACTGCTTTGTACTATATCGAATATATACTAATGTATTGTACTGTACCTGATACATGCAATTATCCTATGGGCAAAAAGGGTAATTGCTTGGGGCCTCTCGTTGTGTGGGCAAATCAATATTTTATAAAAAAAACTTTCCTCAAAAAATTCCGTCAAAGAAAAATGTCTGGAGCCAACTCTGTACATGTAGTTTCCTAATATAAATTCACCTGGGCCTCGTAAAGGTATAATGTGCCACTGAGTTACATAAATAGCATGATTTACAGGACCCCGGCTAATGGAGAGCTGTCAGTGCAAAGACCATTTTGGAATCCCCTTTCGGAGACTCTGCTTATACAAATAACATAATGATATTGAAGTAGAAAAATAATTTAGTATAAATGTTAGCCCATGGCCAAAGTTATTTTATTATTTGGAAAAAATCAGAAAATGGACAATTTTTTCCCCCTGATGGGTCCCATGTGCCCTGGGGCGGTGCCTTAGATGCAACCTCTTCTAAGGCCTGATGATTTGTTACGCAATACTTAAGAAATAAAAAAAATGAATCATTCTGTTATCCAAAGATTGAAACACTAACATTACATAACATTTTTGTAAACATCTCATTGTAACACATTTATAAAGATTACCCACCCTCTCACCCCAACAGTGGTGTGTTATCCTAAGGGCAAAAAGGAAAATTTTATTAGTCCCCATCAACAAGGGGTCTTAAACCAATCTTTTATAAGAAAATATTTCCCTTAAAAAATTTCCTCAAATAAAATTTCCTCTAATTCAAATTTGCCTGGGCCCCATGAAGGTATAACGTGACACTACAACCCCAACATAACACAGCATAACAATTAACCACACTCTCGCCCTCCCACCATTTTTGCTATGTAATTTATGGACAACCGTAACAAGAGATAACAAATAATTGTATGACTCTACATTAAAATGTTAAATATGTGCAGTTTTATGTAAAACTAAGACTAAATTTTGAATATTCTTGATGAAATTTAGCATAATAAAATTATTTTTTCTTCTTTCTAACTATAATTAATGCAGTTTAAAGTGTAATAATGTTATAAATTTTAAAACTTAAAATATTTTGATAAATAATACATTTTGTTACTCAAGTTAATATTCTTGTTTTAATTAGATTGAAGACAGCAACAAACTTTGTGTTCAGCCACTTGGACGAGATGAACAAGGGAATATTTATTGGTATTTTTATGGATTGCGTCTTTATAGAGAAGAATGTTCCATACCACCAGAAAGTCTGAAAATGCTGTGGTTAGTTGTCATTTTTTTTTTTAATATTTAAAATTAGCTGCATGTGCCTGTCTTTGTTTGGGGTTTGAAAGTGGAATTGGTGAGTTTGGATTAGGAAAAGGAGTTAAAACAATGGTCTTAGTAATCAAAATGGTTAAGTTCTGCACTGTGCCAGTGCACTCAGCACCTGTATCACACTGGCAATCTAGGGTCTCTAGATATGGCCAAAATTTAAATTTTAATATTCTTAATACTGTAATGATTTTATAAAATGGATCTGGCAGGGCATGTGTCCTGGGCACCAGATAAAGTCTGTAATTATTTGAATTATTTAGGAAATTATTTGATTTATGACAGATAAAGAGGTGTTGAGAGGAAAGTGTGTATAAGAGGAAGGCTGTGGATTGTTGCATGGCATCACATGTCATCAACATCCCTAACCTCTGTAATAAGGGAGGGAACAGCAAGATCTTTGTTCCTGATGACGGAGACAAAAAATGTTTTTATTAAACGTTAACCTAATGAAACTTTTTTAAGCATGATATTACAAAAGCATTTAGCCATTCATTCTCATTAGTGATTTAATTTTCATGTAGAAATTACTCTGCTTTTCTTAATATTTTTAATATGTATTTTTTTTATTTGATACATATATTTAATATAAATTATTTCTCTTTTTTGATATCATTTGTCTCTTAAATTAGTTAGTTTAAATATTAAATTGCTTTTTCTTTACATTACTGACTTTCCTTTTTTATGGAAATTATTTGAGTTAATCAATGCACCTTTAACAATGAATGAAGTTGAAGAAATGCTAATATTTTCAATCTGCTTAATGGAGCATCTTTAGATGTGGACAGATGAAAGAGAAATTACTTTCTAGTTATTTCACTTTCATCTGTCTCTGCTGAAAGATGGTCCACCATTAAAGGTGCACTGATTAATTTAGCATATTAACAGTTACCTACCAGTGACCAAGTGGATAAAATCACCGAACACTGTGTAGTTGGTTGTGAGTTTGAGCCTTGCCAATAAACTAGCCACATGAAATTTTCCAGTTTGAACACCTAAATAGAGACTTGCTTTATTTAAAAGATTTATTTCAACTTACACACACACAAAACATTTTTTATTTTATTGTAGAGATTTTAAAATATGGAATAAATTTTAACTATTAGGGAAGAAGAATGGAGAAGAGAATGTGAGAAATATTTTAACAATAAAGAAAGAAAAATGAAGTATAAAAGCAAAATTAAATATTATCGAAAGAAAATGAAATCCTTTGAAAAGTAAGTCATGTAATTAAAGTTATTATTTTGATTTAATTTTCAGCCTTTTTGTAGAATTTTCAAAAGTAAATAAATTTTAAAATAATTCTTGAAGTAAAGAATAATTAATTAGGTAATATCTTATTACATGTAAAATGTTAATAGATTAACAATAACAAACTTAGAAACTAATTAATTAGAGTTAATAAGTTTCATCCAAATATAACAGAATGAACCATTGCAGTGTATGGAAGAAAACAAACTTGGCACCTTTAATAGTGAATAAAACTTTATAGATTGTAAACATTCTTGACCTGGTTACCAATAACAGCACTAAGATTTTCATTCTGGGAGGTGGAGATGTTTTAGTGGGGTGAGTGTTATCAGCACATTTTATCATGAAACTGGTTTTGAAAATTAGTTTCAATCAACTTAGTTTAGTAATAAATTTTCAATAAGACATATAAGCAGAAAAAAACTTTTAGTGGGAATGGGTAATTACTTGATGAGTAATCAATTCATATTTAATGAAAATCCCCAATAATGGGTCAGTATAGGTAGACTTGAATAAATTATTTCAGGGTGGATGAATTGATGGGCAAGAAGAATTTAGGATGGGCTGTCACTCACTTTCTCTCTACCCTAGCACTGTCCATGCTGGTTAACACTATCTTCAGATGTATGAAAATGGAACAGCATTTGTATTTCATTTTTTTATGCTTGAAGATGGTCCATTAACTGGGTTAAAAATATTTGTAATTTACAAAGTTTTACTCACTATTAAAGGTGTTGTATTTGTTTTATTTTTCTTGGATATTATATAATTAACAATTTTTACTTTTTACTATAAAGTCTTTATTAATAAATATTAATTAAAACAATATATTATAAAGAGGGAATTTTTGAATAATAGAACTAAAATTTTATCTTAAATATTTCTAAAATTTTAAGTTATGGAAATCGTTATAAGTTATATAAAGTGTTATGCAGGAAAATAGGCATTTATAAATCGGCAGTTATTAACTTTTGAATCTTTATTAATAAATTTTATGTACAAGATTTCAAACAACATCCTTTGTCATTTATAATTTGAAGACAATATCATGCAAGTGAGCTTCATTTATGTGTCAACACTCTTTGAATCTTTGAAGTTTGTCATGTATAGACTGGTACAACATATTCTCGCATATATTATTGATTGCATGACAAATTTTTGCTGTAAGAGTTTCAATATTGTTTAGATGATCTTTGGCCATTATTTGGCTTTATTACAAAATTATTTTAGGATTTTCAATTATTATATAACTGGTATTTTAATTATTATATAATGTTTGCATGTGTATACACTCTTAATTGTGGTATATAAGTTGATTTGGTATATAAATTAATTTCATGCCCATATATTTAGGTTTATATTTGCTTTACATATCAACTCCTAAATATATGATAAGCTTTACTTGTCAATGTGATACACAGTATTTCAATCAGTCATATGTCAGACATTTCTTTCAGATTTAAAGAAATAAACTTATATATGAAGATATGCATATATATATCTTAAAAGAATATAATAAATAATGGAAACACTTAAATGCCTGCTGTTTATTTCAGAAATAAATTGAAGAATTTGAAAGATCAAAATCATTCACAACCAAAATGGACTGTTATATGTAACACCTTAGAAGATTGGTATAAGTTAGCAGAAAGACTTCGTAAAAGCAAATCATTATGGGAGAAAAAATTATACAATGTTTTAGCTGATGGATTTCTTGCTGCAATAGAAAAATTAGCTGAAGAGAAGGTATCAAAATTTATTGTTATATTAATGAACTAATTTATAAAATTTTGTAAAGAACTAATAATATATTTTTGACAAAATGATCAAATACCAAGTAAATGCAATGGAATTAGTCATAAAAATAGGTTTAACTGTTGTTTACAATATGTTACAAGTGTTTTTAGTGTTGAAGCTTTAATACTTTATGCTGAAATTAATTTATTATACTGCCTGAATTTAATTTATCTGAATACAATATGTAATTTTGTTTTTGTAGGGTGATATTTCAGATTACAAATATACAGAACGACGATCTTCTGCTAGAATTGAAGAAAAGCAAAGAGATAAGGTTTGAAAATATTTTTAAACATTTTATTTTATTTAAAATATGGTACTATAAATATTTGAATTTTTAGGAAATTTTTGACAATTTTGCATTAAGAAATGAACAGACAATNAATATACATAAGTTTTATAAAATTTATAAAATTATCTTGATTTAAAGCATACCTTGAGTACGACTGTTGTTAAAGTTGTACACAATTGATTATACTTTCCACTTATAAACCAGTTTTGTAAAATCCTTGATTTAAAACATACTTTGGACTCAACAATTATCAAAATGGTATACAATTGATTTGCTTTCCACTCATAAATCAGTTTTGCAAACCCGCCTTACAAAATCTTTACTTCCTTTGATATGCATTGACAATATAGTACGAATTTACATATCTTCTACAATATAATACAAATTTACATATCTGACGTCTATTATATTTTCACAGTGTATATGATTGTTGATTTATTTAATATTTAATATTATAAATTATTATATGAACTAATAATAATAGGATGTCTTGAAGTTGGTAAACATGATTAACATTTAATATAAATTTACCTATTATTTGACACCTATTACAATATTACAGTTTTTTGTTATTGATTAATGATAGTTCTTGCACATTTCAGTTTTAAATACGTAATCCAATTAATAGCTTTTCAAACAGAATTTATTCTTTGGCATCTATAGGCAACAAATTAGATTCTTTTCAGTTTATCATATTTCAGACAGAGTATATGAATTTTAGTGTGTGAACAAAGTGATATTATTCAACGGATTATTGTGCCATTTAATCTAACATGCTTTAATTTGTCTATTTTATTATTTGTTTAAAAATCTGCAAAAATAATCATTATCAAACATTTCTAATACGTAATGCCTATAGATTGTTAATTCTGTTGAATGGTTTTCATTTTAAACATTTCTCATGGCCTTTGAAATTGTGTAATTTTTGGCAATTTCATTTCTTACAAATTTTGTTTGGAATATGATGCATTTTTGATTTGTTTATATAATATTTTGGTATTATTTTATGTTGATAAAGATTCTCTTCAAGAGTTTAAACCTATTGATGACTGCATGTTCTTTTTTCTTCTAAATAATATATTATTAAAATGTTAGCCACCAGCCTAAACTAAAGTTGTTTTGTTAGAAATTCATCTGGATATTTGGTCATCTAAATAGTTGAACTTTCATCTGATGCTAGCAAAATATTCTATCATTACCAATTTGTCTTAATATTTTATTTATACCTTTACTAGCCTTGCTGTGCTTCTACCATATTAGGAAATATGAAGAATGAACTAGCCACTGTGGTTACTCAGATGAATTAATCAATGAACCCTTTAACAGTGGGTGAAGTTTAAATAATGCTAATGTTTTTGACTCAATTAATGGGTCATCTTCAGGCATAAACAGTTGAAAATTGAATGCTAGTGTTGGAAGGAAGGAAGAAGGGATACAGTTTAAGCTTGGATATTTAAATTTCACCCACTGTTAAAGGTGCATTGATTAATTCAACTATCATTATTCCTTTTAAGTCAATTTAATTTAAAATTTTATATTTTTGGAATTTGGAATGTTTCAATTCCACACACGGAAAGCTAAGGGTGAAAGGTTTTGTGAAACTTACTGGAATGTTTCAAAATTTATATTCTTAAATCATTTCATTTTGATAAAAATTTCAAAAGTAACAAATTGTAGCATTAATATTTAATTATTGAGAAAAACCTATTGCTATACCATATTTTTTATGAGGAATAAATCTTTTTTAGAATATTAGATACTGCAAAAAATAAGAATGTTTACAGTTTGTCAAAACTGCATGTTTTTCTGAACGGGTCTTTTGAATTTTGTTATCAGTTTCTTCATTTTTCTTTTGTATAAAATAGCTGGAAAGATTTTTGAGGTTTCTAATGTTAAAAAAAAAAACAAAAATCTTTAGAATCTAGCATATAATTTTTGAAAAAAATAAAAATTTCTGATTAATTTAACTAGATCTCTTCAGGTTCAAACTGCACACCACTACTGGATTCCAGAATCAAAAAATTAAGTTAATCAAAAATGCAAAATATGAAATGAACAGCCAGATTCCTTTATTAGACTATTAAGGCTACATTATGTAGCCTGAATAGTCTGATAAAGGAATCTGGCTGTTCGTTTAATGTTTGAAGTAGTTATTGAGTTAGTTGTATTTATAATATAATCAAACATGTTTGTTTTTCTCAAAAGTTAAATGCTGGATTTGTTTTTGTGGCTATATTATTGTTTAATATTCCATTTAAATTTCTGCTCTTTACTGACACAATAATGATTTATTTGCATGGTTTTTCCAAAATTTTCCTTGCACTTTTTCATTTTTAATTTATTAGTCTGGTTGTTTTTTGAATTCCAGTTCTGCTATTTCAGTTTCATTATTGAACTGATTGGAATTAAATTTTTTTTTGTAAGACAAATTAATTATGATTTATCATCAAAAAAACATCAGAACTAGTAACATATACAACAATCTGATCAATTAGTATTGTCAAATGATTGACCAGATTATTTATCAGGCTATATTAAGGCTAATTTAATAAGTAGAAACCACCTACCTGCAGCCAAATTTATTTCTAAGTATTAAATTAATTCTAATATAGTCTGGTAAATAATCTAGCAGATCATTTGCCATTAGAACTAGATTTAACAAAGTTTTATGTTTACATTATGTTATAAGTTACAATTTATATAAATTACATTTTACCAAGTCTGTACCATTTAACAATAAATTTATCTCAGACTTGAATTTTCAAAAGTGGTTTCTGAAGAGTGAGAATTTAGTTATGAAAATATTTCTGCACAATATCAAATAATGATTTGATTAATAAAAATTTGCCTGGGATTCCTCAGAAATATTTCATATATAAAAAGATTCATAACCGGTTTATGTTGGGAAACAGTGCTTTAAAATATTTAACAATTTCACTGAAGTATATCAGATGGATTTGGATCTCATCCAAGACTAAATGCATTTTTTTCAACTTAAATATTATATATTTATATAGCTAGAGATGAAATTCAAACACTCTAATTTTATACTTTAAGCAGTATTTATTTATTTAAAAATTAGCTATTCAATAATTTCACAAACATAAATTCACTGTACAGATATACATTATATATGAGGTGTTTACTTAAACATCTATTCAGGGGCAAAAGATATTTTGTAAGCATTGCATGAGTGTATGGATGTGATGGATGCTTGTTCCAGTAGTAAAATAATTGAAGGGAATCAACTTAATACAATTTAGCATAATACAAATAATTTCCGACTGTAAAGGATAAAAACATTGCAGAAATTGTTATAGAAAAATAAGTTTAAGTTTGTTAGAGAACTTGTTCAAAACAACTACCTTCAGCAGCAATACAAAGATGTAGAATGTTGAGTTTGGCATTATGGATGACATGTAGTTTTCATGAGATCACCATTTTATAGTTCTGTCATATGCTTCTCTTAAGTTGGTCAACGTCGTGCAGCACTGCTGGGTATGCATCATATATCAATACTTTTAATTGACTGCATAGAGACAATCCAGTTTGGGATCAAGTCTGGAATATGTGATGTCCATAGAACAGAGTCATGTTCCTATCCAGCAGTTGCCCAATTGCTCTATGAGCCATTGATGCATGTTTGTCTGGGAATGAGTTTGCACACCATTGTGCCAGTACCAAATCTGTGGTTTTGTTAATGGCAAATCATCGAACTATTCATCCAATGTTATATTTAGGATGTTCAGATATCAGTCATCATGTCACCAATGATTAAGGGACCAAGAAGCTGTTAACCCCAAATTGCACATCACACATTTAGGGTAAACACATACTTGTTTTGTATGTTGCATGCATCATGGAGCATGCTCTGCCCAATGGTGTATATTGTGACAGTTATACACTCCATTTTCAGGAAATGGTTCCTTGTCAGTTCATCAAAGGAGGAGTTATGGTTTGTCATGCTGTAAATTTAACATCTTGTTTTATCACTGAAATCTCTGTATCCTCTGCATGTTGTGCTTATAGTAATGAAATGGATGCATGTCATGGTGATGTATTTAGTTTTTCAGTCTGCTGCAGTCCGCAACCTAACGTAACTAATGCTAGAAAGCTCTCTTAGCCCTTGGATAGAAGTTTAAGTGGACACTCTGCATATGCATAGCTTTGAATTTAAGCTCTAGATCTTAATTGATTTTAAAAAACATAAAGAATATATATGCATTTGGATGCATGTATATTCTTTATATTACTACATATACTAGTGGGTTTTTATCCATTGAAAATTTATGTTCATATTTATCTGTTGATAATTTTAATGCTATCATATCACCAACTTTTAAGTTTAAATCATAAGAATTTATAATTGGAGAACTTCAATACATATTTATTATCTCTTTTTGATACTTTAGTTTTAGAAAATGTTAAAATACTTCTTAACTGTACAAACCAGTACACTTTTCTCTCAACGGATTGGTTATGTGACAAACAAGTTTCAGTTGACTTCAGGCAAACTTATTTGTCAGATAATCAACTCTTTGCTGGAAAAGTGCTCTGATTATTACAGTTAGGTATTGAAATATGTTTCAGTTTTCTGAGGTTACATTTTGTTTAAACATTAAATTTATCTTTGTAACAAATTAAAAATTTAGAATTAATGTTGTATGTGATAATGAGATCCTTGAATCCTGGATACATTTTTTAGACACAAGAAAAGATTGTATATCATTGTGATAAATGGACATGCAGTAAATATCCTACATCTTATATTATCAAAATATACAAGTAAATAATTATATTTGCTAGGTTACTTTTGATAATTTTGAATTTATCTGTTAGTTTTAATATTTTGGTTATAATTTAGACTATTCTAGTTATATGTGAATGGTTAAAAATAATATGATATANAAAATACGCTCAAGTCATTCTGAGCACTTTGTCTAACGAATGCTAAATATTATTTATTTAAAAAAATTAATTAATTTTCTAATTAAATTTTTATCAAGTTTCAAAGATGTTTTATAAATAAAACATCTAGATATTTCATAATTATAAAAATATTTCTTAAAATTGCAGGTGGCGCATCGTATTTATAAATAATTATTTTCTATTTATATCTAGCGTACGATATAATACGTAATAATTTATAAAATTAAATTTTATTTAAGATCATAAATTTAAAAATAAATTAATTTATATATATATCAATTTTTAATTGTGATAATAATTTATAATTTAGAATAATTTTAAAGCGAAAAAATGTAAAAAAAAACAGACGAACAATTATCCGTTTAGCGCCATCTGTCATCAATTTATATCATTAATTTTTAAAATAACGAATATGGGAATATATAACAAGGTAAAGATTTATTTTTGTAATTTAAAAAAAAATTCTTGATATAAATGGCTTAAAGAATATGGAAAATCAATAAGAAATGTCTCGCGTACAATAAAATCAGTAATCTTAAGATGGAGATCAAAATAATCGGATATTCTGTAAAGAACTTTCAGCGAGTGGAGTTATAAAAATGCATTTTATGACGTCCGAGGTAATACAAAATGGAGGAAATTAAAGTTTATTTGAGAAAATGGATGCCATTCAGAACCAGAAGCATATTCTACACAAATAAATCTGATATATAAATAGGATCTTCGAGAGATTGTATGGGGCCTGGGTCCCTTCGCCATTTTGCTTTTTTTTTGAATACAAATAAAACACATAAAATGTTTCTTTATTAATAAAACGCAAACTCGATTTTGTGTTTTGTTAATAAAAAGAACATTTTTAGAGATAGGAACCACTATTTTTATAGGGTAATGGCCCCCTATTATTTTTCTCGGTTGTATGACGATCAGTCAAAAAATGATCCTCTCCTTCTAGCATTTTTGCATTGTTTTGGATTCGGGGACCCTTGAAACGTCGAGAAATGCAAAAAATTTGGGATATTTTCTGTATATGTGAATACCGTAATGTGGGGATACTTTGCTCCGATAGGGGCTACTATGCATCACTTTACGAATCACATTTACTGAGATATGGCAAGTAAAATATGAAATATATTTAAATGATTAATATTTTACTTATCATAGGTCGGTAAATGTGATTTGCAAAGTATCCTCACATTATGGTATTAGTATGGATGGGGGACATGATTTTCTTCACTCATTTTGAAGCTTAATAACTCCTGTGCCCTTTGTCGAAAATTTCTGAAAATTTTTTAGGGAGGTTTGTGTTATGAGGGGGAAATTTTACTAGAAATTTTCAGGAAAATTGGACTGTTGGTTCGGAGATATGACTACATCTCCTTAATATCTCTCAAACCAACCCGAAGGCTTAAAGATAATGGTAGTAATTATTAGAGATGAAAACAAATAAAGAATACTGGGAAAGGCTAACAACAACATTTCCAGTTTGTTTTTTTATAGGAATATTACAGGATCTCTAGATTTTCTTCGAGTCAGGGTAAAAAATCTCTACCTCTCCCTGTCGATGGCCTCGTATATAAAGCACTACATATTTAATTATGTTATATACAAGTATTGTATATACTTAATAGTGATCTGCTAGGCAAAGAAGAAAAATATATTTTCTTCTCTTTGACATCTTTATATTCTTTTTTGAACATATTTTTCAGAATATTTTTTTGTTTTTATTTTATATTTTGAAAAATTGATTAAGAATATAGAAGTAACTTTCTGTTTCTTTTCATTCATTCAAGAATACAGAATTAACAGACTANCAGTTTCTTCATTTTTCTTTTGTATAAAATAGCTGGAAAGATTTTTGAGGTTTCTAATGTTAAAAAAAAAAACAAAAATCTTTAGAATCTAGCATATAATTTTTGAAAAAAATAAAAATTTCTGATTAATTTAACTAGATCTCTTCAGGTTCAAACTGCACACCACTACTGGATTCCAGAATCAAAAAATTAAGTTAATCAAAAATGCAAAATATGAAATGAACAGCCAGATTCCTTTATTAGACTATTAAGGCTACATTATGTAGCCTGAATAGTCTGATAAAGGAATCTGGCTGTTCGTTTAATGTTTGAAGTAGTTATTGAGTTAGTTGTATTTATAATATAATCAAACATGTTTGTTTTTCTCAAAAGTTAAATGCTGGATTTGTTTTTGTGGCTATATTATTGTTTAATATTCCATTTAAATTTCTGCTCTTTACTGACACAATAATGATTTATTTGCATGGTTTTTCCAAAATTTTCCTTGCACTTTTTCATTTTTAATTTATTAGTCTGGTTGTTTTTTGAATTCCAGTTCTGCTATTTCAGTTTCATTATTGAACTGATTGGAATTAAATTTTTTTTTGTAAGACAAATTAATTATGATTTATCATCAAAAAAACATCAGAACTAGTAACATATACAACAATCTGATCAATTAGTATTGTCAAATGATTGACCAGATTATTTATCAGGCTATATTAAGGCTAATTTAATAAGTAGAAACCACCTACCTGCAGCCAAATTTATTTCTAAGTATTAAATTAATTCTAATATAGTCTGGTAAATAATCTAGCAGATCATTTGCCATTAGAACTAGATTTAACAAAGTTTTATGTTTACATTATGTTATAAGTTACAATTTATATAAATTACATTTTACCAAGTCTGTACCATTTAACAATAAATTTATCTCAGACTTGAATTTTCAAAAGTGGTTTCTGAAGAGTGAGAATTTAGTTATGAAAATATTTCTGCACAATATCAAATAATGATTTGATTAATAAAAATTTGCCTGGGATTCCTCAGAAATATTTCATATATAAAAAGATTCATAACCGGTTTATGTTGGGAAACAGTGCTTTAAAATATTTAACAATTTCACTGAAGTATATCAGATGGATTTGGATCTCATCCAAGACTAAATGCATTTTTTTCAACTTAAATATTATATATTTATATAGCTAGAGATGAAATTCAAACACTCTAATTTTATACTTTAAGCAGTATTTATTTATTTAAAAATTAGCTATTCAATAATTTCACAAACATAAATTCACTGTACAGTTTATTAATTCAAAAAAATTTTCATTCTGTATAAATATATAATAAAGTTACTTAGTAGATTTTTTTTAGGGGTCATCCATTAATTATATGTACAGTTTAAGAGAAAGATTGTGAAAAGTACATCATTATACTGTACATAATAAGGAGGGAGGGAGTCAATGCATTATCTACAGTGGGCCTTTTTTAGTGGTGTTAATGGCATACTGATTTGTTTTTATAAGCCTACTTAAAGTCATGTGTATAAACTGTCAGTTAGAAAATATTTATAGAACTTTTTTAAAGTAATTTCCTCAGTGTTGGAGCTCCTTGAACTATTGTTAATTCAAGGAGCTCCAACACTGAGGAAATTTGGGAAGGGAATTGTGAAAACCACATTGTTGTATACAGGCAGAGAGATGGTTAAAAACTGTATATGTAATTAATGGGAAACTCCTTATTTTATTTTATTACAAAGATTTATTTTAGAAGGATCAAAACTCCTTCCATTATAAGAAACTATTATGGCAAAATACAGACTTAATCAATTATGTAGATAAGTAATTAGTTGAAATTATAGTCATTATAGTAAATCATTTATCTACAGTAATGAATTTTATATAAATAGTTATAATTTTTAATGATTTTTCTGCTTTCAAGATGATTATAAACAAATTTGATATCCTATAAATATTAATAATACTGGTAATATTTGTTTGCTTTATATAGTCATGAATATAAGTTATCATTATAGGTATTTATTTATTACGTACAAATTTTTGTAGGAAATTTCAAGTAACAAATTTGAAGAATCTTCAAGTGAAGAAAATTCTTCAAAGTTTCCTGATCTTAAGATATCTACAACTCAAAGCCATCCTTCTTTATACCTTGCAAAATGTGTTTCAGATAATGCAAATAAAGATTTAAATAAATCAGTAGAAAATTTTGAAAATAATTCAATTGTAAATGATTTGAGATCTGAGACTAATCAAGCCAAAGAAAGTATTTGTAATGGTAAACAAAATCATGATTCATATATAATGGAAAGTGAATGCACTCTCAGTCAAAATGAGGAAACTGTTTGCAATAATAATGTTGAAGATAATTTGAATATTTTGGAAGATGATAGTGCACATAATAATGCTGAAGTAATTATTAATTATAAGCAGAATATAGAAGATACTACTGCAGAATTTGGGGCAAACAATTTTCAATTTACAAATAATGGACTCAAAAATATATCAATTGATGAAAACAGTAAAGCTCCACAAATAATGGTATATAATCTAAATGACAAAGAAACAAATTCTTCTTTAACTGTTGAAAACTTTGAGCCTTTACTTCAAGATAGTGAAGCTCTTCCAGTAACAGAATTGCAAAATAATGAAATATTAGAGACATTGTCTGATAACGAAAACTACATTTCACCTAACTGCAGTCCATCGGCACCATTATATTTCATTGCATCGCCTGAAAGTAAAGTCAATGGAGACATTTCAAAATCATTAAATATGCCGGATTCGCAAAATAATGTGTCCGAAGAGCCTCTTACAAGGAATGAATTTTTGTCTTCAGTACAGAATGACATTTTGCATTTGTTAGATCCTAATGAAGTAAATTCTGTTCCATTAACTAATAAAGTGCAACCTCCTGTAACAACTCAATTTTATTTATATCCTGCAGATCCTCAGTTTAGTCTTTGTAATAACAGAATGATAAACTGTACAAATAATTCACCAAATTTTAGATATAATTCACAAGTTCCTATAGAAAGTCCTCAGCAATTTGTCTTTACGCAACTTCCACATGCTACTTTTCATGGCCCTCAAGTTATTACAACTCATTCTCTTATATCAAGAAATGAAAATTTGCCATTGATGACATCTCAAGGACAGTTCATTTCTTCTCAACCGAATGCGCAAATAACATCTATGTTTCCTTTTCCAATATCATCATATAATCAGAATAATGATCAGGTTTTAAGGCACAAATCTCCCCAGTTTTATGCAGATACTTTTGTCAACAACAGAACAACGATCAACAAGAATACAAGTTATTCTGTTCCAAATTTATGTCCACAGGTGAGCCTTTTAAAACCTTTCTTTAATAATCGTGATATAAGTTATTTGACTTTTGTAATTTGCATTTTTCAGAATAAGCCAGCATTGTCCAATAGATATTTTGTACATGATAATAAATCTGGATCTCCTCAACAAGGATCAATTTTTAATGAAGTTCATTATATGAATTCTGACAATAGACCTTATGAAAACATTTCTACTCCATTACGAAAGCAACATGTAAACATTTTATCAGATCCTCACAAAGAATATAATGTGTATCCTATTGAATCAGTGAAACATGCTACACTTAGTTCTGCTACTGATCCAAAATGTCAAGAAAATCCAAAAGATTCAGTTCAAACAACAAATAATACCACATCCAATTCAAATATTTGCTTAGTTAATTCGGAACAGTTCCAGCAAATATCACCATCTTTAAATGACTTTCCTTTTCAAAAATCCTCAGAAGTAATTAATTCGATGCTGACTTCATTCCAGCCATCGTCGAGTTTAGAACCTAAAGTGTATCCAGATAAAGCAAATGTTATTATTCCTTTATCCATCCCGAATGGTCAGACAGAATTACATTACAATTTGGCAAGTGTTCTTGGAAATCATTCTCAATATGTTTATTATGTAAGTAGGCATATTTCAGTTATTCAGTTATTTATAGCAATGGTTGATATTTATGATTCAAATTATTTTTTCAGGTGCCTGACATATTGCAAAGTGTACAAAAGAATCATTCTCATCCAGATTCCATTTATTCTTCTAGTGAAACATCTCCACCAATCAAAGAGCATACAATGACATTCCTTACTCCATCTCTCCTTAACCAGTCTTCTAGAATGGATCCAAATACTGTTGCTCCAGTTTCCTCTTCAAATAATAAACAAATAGGTAATCAATAAGTTACAGTTCATGTATTAATGAATTTAATTAAACAAACATCATTACTTTTTAAAAAGAAGTAGATGTAACAGTATGTTATTTAATTTTTTGTGTTAATTGTCACCCTAAGAGCCTTTAAAAAAGACTGTTTTAGATGCTTGCAACACACTTCATTCAAGTTAACTTGTTTAATGAATCGGTGAACATAAAAAATTTATGTAAAATTGTAGTTTTGTCGGCAAATAATTAAAATTTGTATAAAACATTGTCACTTCTTCAATTATTTGTGAAAAAAACAGATGAGAACGACGAACATCCGGCCATTAACTCCACAATAAAGTGTATGTAATATACAGCAGTTCAGTTGTATGAAAAACATGAAGATCTTCAAATTTTCTCAAGCTGGACATGGCACAATTTTTTGGAAGGAGCGTATGTTTTGTCGAAAAATTTTCAAGAAAATTTCTGACAGAATCTCTTCAGTATCGAGCAATTTAACCGGACTAACGACAATGGTAACAAGCTACAAAATAATCATCAGCTCAGACACCAAAGTTGGTTATTGTAATTTGTAATATCGATTGAAGAAACCGGTAAATAATAATGATATACAAGATGTAAATCCACGAAATTTTGCGAATAAAAAAAAAATATTTGAAATATTACAAAAGTGTAATTATTCTTTAAAAAAATGCAAAAACAATATAGCAGTTAATACACGAACGTTACGTTACTCGACCAGAGATCGCTAGTATCGCCAACGTCACCGACTATATTGATTGCCATATAAAAATTGAAGTACCCGGATCAGCTAGCTGGTCTGTTATGGCGGATCTGGGGGGAAGCGAGTTAGCAAATGGATACGATACGTGGATAGAAACACTTTAATAAAAAGGATAATTCTTGCGTATATATATATGTGCGCCATCATGTCCTCCCATCGAGAAGGAGACGGTCACCATTATCAGTTCGTAGGACCTTATCGTCTCGAGAGAACTCTGGGAAAAGGACAGACAGGTGAGTTTAGCTGCAGTGCTGATGTTTGAAACTAAACACCTAAACTTCCCCCTGTAAAATTGTCCTGAGGGCGAAATTTAAGCGTTAACGCGTAAACTCCAAGAGCCAGATACCTTACCGAAATTTCGATATTGTTTTTATTATAGTCGGGATTATTTTTTTTCTCTTATTTTTAAAATTTCTACCTGTCAGGTGTTAAGTTTATGCCTGCATAAATATGAAAAGTGTGGTATATAGATTAGATTCTTCGAGTCTTGCGATAATTAACGACTTTATCGATTATTTTACCGTCACGTGTATAGAGTAGGAAAGTCCCATCGTTCGCAGTCTGTCTGTCTGCCGTGGATTTTTGGAGATTTTGATGAATTGTTTACGTCTCCGTACGGATAAATACAAGATTTTCTGGTTATTTTCTTCTCTCCAAATCTAGATTTAGTAATACAGTTTAAAGCATTCCTATAAAACACTCCGCTGCTCGGTCTCTATATCATGGAAGAAAGTTCGTATATAAAACCACTTTAAAAAATATTTTTTCCTATATATATTTTACTTTAAAGTAATATATTTTAAGTGCATTATTTCTAGGATTTCAGTATAAATAAATTTTAAAATTTATAAGAGACGAAAAGATAGATTTAAAAAGTTGTAATTCCCGTAATGTTTATGGAATTCCCGCGTAATTATGTCGTATTTATTAATCATAAACTGCTTATTGTTATGATTTTAACGGAAATTCTTCTAGAAATGGGCATTTTACACTCCAATGAAGAATCTTTTAGGCAGAACGGTAGTAAAACCCCCTGACTATAGTTTAGTGGAAACAAATGAAGTTGAGGGTCGACACTTGTAACGAAAAAATATCTTCTCCCGAGACAACAGTAATCAGATACCGACAGAAGTAGACTTACTTGTCATGTTACTGTCAAGAAAGTTATATTAATACTGATTACTCGTCTAGTAGGATTTTCTCTTTTTCTCTAACTATTTATCCATTTTTGCCTTGTTCTAGATAAACAAACAATCTTATAGATCAATTTTCGTCAAGAAATTAAATCAATTTCAAGGTTAATCACGTGCTTTTAAGAGAGAAAAAAGCGTAATGAAGTTGCTCAGTCCTATGATTAAACAATGATTTAATAATAACGTATTAATATCGATTTACATCCCGTAACAAAAATTATCCCTTTTTGAAAAATTATTATAGTAAAAAATATATAATTATACAATTAAAAAAGTAAAAAAGTCGTTTTATAAACATTATCGTTTAAAAATTATTAATTTTTATAATTTTAAATTGATTTTTAAACTAAACTTCTGCCGGTTGTGTTTCCCTGCATGGCTCGGTTATCGTGCAGTGAAGTGTTATTTACAGGAGTTATTTAAAAAAAAATACGTACTCGCACGATCAGAATGAGTGATTATAATTTGTAGAACATCGATATAACGTATTTTATATTAAAAAAAAACAATAATTTTTGATAGAAGATGAGCTATTCAAGGACTTCTAGTTTCTTATAATCGATCAATCATCGAACCTTCTATGAAAGATTTACTACATAATCCCTTGATGATACAGACACTTCAGAAATGTACATTATCGAGTTTATGTATTTGCTTCCTTTTTCAATTCAAGCCTTAAGTTGACAATAGCACTGCCTGCTACTGATCTCTCTGTCTCTATCTCTCTGACTGTTACTGATCTCTGTTATTAATCATTGCTCAGATACTTCGACCTTTCCTGCTGAATACATAAAATAATACTGACTTTTATAAAACATTTTCCCCTTAATTTTTGCAGCCGATTTTTCTCTGTAATTTCTCCCCCTATTTAATTTTAATTTTACGAAATTACTCTTCATAGATTAGTCACATTATCGGTAAATGTCCCGCAGGCATCTGGAATCACGCAGAGTTAATCCTTAGGATCTAGATACGTAACCATTCCATCAACAACGGGTCAAAAGATATAATTCGGACGTATAATATCTAATTAAATCATTGAAATTTATCGGAAAATCCTTCAAAGAAAAATCTAAAAATATAATATTTAATAATTAGAATAAATAAATTAAAGACGAGAAATTTTAACGAAGAAAACGGTTAAGAAAATTTTCGAAAGTTTTAATATTTTACTAAAATATAACCTCATCCGTTATTGGAGGAGAAAAATGCGCGTGCGCTTGCTCACGAGATACTTGAAGAGAATCAATGAAAACGGAATTCATTCAAATTTTGACGTCATCGCCAAACACCGAGTCCATTTGATGACGTGATTTGAATTTTTAAAATTTTATTATAATTATTTATTATTATATATTTTTTTACATAAAACATATTTAATTTTATTCTAATAGGTTTGGTGAAACTGGGTGTGCATTGCATAACCGGAAGAAAAGTGGCCATTAAGATAATTAATAGAGAAAAGTTAAGCGAATCTGTTTTACAGAAAGTAAGTTTATTTATTTACTTATTTATTTAAATTAATGTTTACCTTTAAGAAATTTTAAAATTAAGCATAGATTTTATATGTTAAAGTGGATGGTTTGAGGTAGATGCCATCATTTATAGCAAGGAAAATTGATGTTAAGTAATTAGGAGCGTCAAAAAATGCCTCAAAATAGAATTACATAGCNATTGATTATTTGTTAAAATTTTTATTTTTTTAAATACAAAATAGGTCAGACCCGTCCTAGTTTTAAGGGAAATGATTAGACAAACGGACGGTCTTTGAAATAGACTGACGAGCACCTGTAGCTCTAAAAATCACTTAATTCCTGTTCGTTCTCGGGGGAAATGACGTCATATAGTCCAAGCTAACCAATCTTTCATTTCCGGTTGAAGTTTCTATTCGGCAGGCGGAAAGATTGGCGGTTTGCCGTTGTTATGACGATGGATTGTTGCCATTTTGTAAAAAGGGTGTTATTGCAAAAACCACGAGGTGGGAAGAGTAAATGTGGCCATCATTTTCTAAAATATCGAGAGATTAATGATGGATTTTTAAATATATACATAAAAAAAAGAAGTAATATTTAAATATTATTTATGAAAATGACAGTTATTTAACTATTTAAATAACTAATAACATAGATCTCGATGGTCATAATAGAGCAATCGATAATATCTAAATTGTAATTTAATTATTTAAATCTTTCAGTGTTATTATTATTATTTTATTTAAATTATTAAAGCTATTAATAGAAGTATTATTAATACTTAACATTGCCAAAATTTTTTAAAATTTATTTATTTTTTAAATTATAACCCTGTTTGGAGATTACTATCGCATTATGATACGTAACTTTGAACGAGCCAATTAGGTTTTTTCTACAGAATCACGTGACGAGAGTTTTTTTTCAAAATTTAAATCGATCAATCTTATCATTAACAAAATATTATTATATATTAATATTATTTGACAAGAAAAATATTATATGAAATAATTTTCGGTTATATATTTAAAAAATTTTTTAAAAGTTTTAACCATTAACCTGTCTTTACCTTTACGCTGATGTTAACATAGACAAAATCCAGATGCTTATCTGTTATAGGAATTTATGGAATTTATAGCAGACCGTACCAAGATGTGGGAAAGGTATCGGATATTTCGTTATATTTATCGTAAACACAATGGTTCGGATCAATAAATCACATTATTACAGGCGGTTTCTAGTGTGGAATTTGTAAATTTCTTTACCATTTCGCATCAATGTAATTTATACTCTTAGCGACATTTATTCATCAATTTAATGTTATTTTTTTGGTACCATTTATAAATGTCAAAAGCGTCTGTAAGGTTGTTTCATTAAGACATTCCACAGCCGCTTTAATATACTTTTAAAGGATGGTTAATTAGAAAAGTCAGCTTCACTCCTCTCTCTCTCTTTCTCTCGTATTAAAGTTATTAAAGTAGTCGGGAATACTTAGACCACGGACCAATATTTTTAAAAGTAACGCGAACTTTCTCAAAATACGCTCAAGTCATTCTGAGCACTTTGTCTAACGAATGCTAAATATTATTTATTTAAAAAAATTAATTAATTTTCTAATTAAATTTTTATCAAGTTTCAAAGATGTTTTATAAATAAAACATCTAGATATTTCATAATTATAAAAATATTTCTTAAAATTGCAGGTGGCGCATCGTATTTATAAATAATTATTTTCTATTTATATCTAGCGTACGATATAATACGTAATAATTTATAAAATTAAATTTTATTTAAGATCATAAATTTAAAAATAAATTAATTTATATATATATCAATTTTTAATTGTGATAATAATTTATAATTTAGAATAATTTTAAAGCGAAAAAATGTAAAAAAAAACAGACGAACAATTATCCGTTTAGCGCCATCTGTCATCAATTTATATCATTAATTTTTAAAATAACGAATATGGGAATATATAACAAGGTAAAGATTTATTTTTGTAATTTAAAAAAAAATTCTTGATATAAATGGCTTAAAGAATATGGAAAATCAATAAGAGATGTCTCGCGTACAATAAAATCAGTAATCTTAAGATGGAGATCAAAATAATCGGATATTCTGTAAAGAACTTTCAGCGAGTGGAGTTATAAAAATGCATTTTATGACGTCCGAGGTAATACAAAATGGAGGAAATTAAAGTTTATTTGAGAAAATGGATGCCATTCAGAACCAGAAGCATATTCTACACAAATAAATCTGATATATAAATAGGATCTTCGAGAGATTGTATGGGGCCTGGGTCCCTTCGCCATTTTGCTTTTTTTTTGAATACAAATAAAACACATAAAATGTTTCTTTATTAATAAAACGCAAACTCGATTTTGTGTTTTGTTAATAAAAAGAACATTTTTAGAGATAGGAACCACTATTTTTATAGGGTAATGGCCCCCTATTATTTTTCTCGGTTGTATGACGATCAGTCAAAAAATGATCCTCTCCTTCTAGCATTTTTGCATTGTTTTGGATTCGGGGACCCTTGAAACGTCGAGAAATGCAAAAAATTTGGGATATTTTCTGTATATGTGAATACCGTAATGTGGGGATACTTTGCTCCGATAGGGGCTACTATGCATCACTTTACGAATCACATTTACTGAGATATGGCAAGTAAAATATGAAATATATTTAAATGATTAATATTTTACTTATCATAGGTCGGTAAATGTGATTTGCAAAGTATCCTCACATTATGGTATTAGTATGGATGGGGGACATGATTTTCTTCACTCATTTTGAAGCTTAATAACTCCTGTGCCCTTTGTCGAAAATTTCTGAAAATTTTTTAGGGAGGTTTGTGTTATGAGGGGGAAATTTTACTAGAAATTTTCAGGAAAATTGGACTGTTGGTTCGGAGATATGACTACATCTCCTTAATATCTCTCAAACCAACCCGAAGGCTTAAAGATAATGGTAGTAATTATTAGAGATGAAAACAAATAAAGAATACTGGGAAAGGCTAACAACAACATTTCCAGTTTGTTTTTTTATAGGAATATTACAGGATCTCTAGATTTTCTTCGAGTCAGGGTAAAAAATCTCTACCTCTCCCTGTCGATGGCCTCGTATATAAAGCACTACATATTTAATTATGTTATATACAAGTATTGTATATACTTAATAGTGATCTGCTAGGCAAAGAAGAAAAATATATTTTCTTCTCTTTGACATCTTTATATTCTTTTTTGAACATATTTTTCAGAATATTTTTTTGTTTTTATTTTATATTTTGAAAAATTGATTAAGAATATAGAAGTAACTTTCTGTTTCTTTTCATTCATTCAAGAATACAGAATTAACAGACTATTTCTTTTCATAAGAATATAGAAAATATGTTTAAGAAAAGAATGTAAAGTAGCAATTAATGAAATATTTTCATGAAATTAATTAAAAATAATTTTTTTTATTCAATAATTCTGCTTTAATTTTTTTTAGAAGAAATTGATTAATGCAAAAACAGAATTATTAAATAAAAGAAACTATTTTTACATAATTTCATGAGAATATTTTATAATTTCATGGATACATGCTACTTTTACATTCATTTTTTTTTGAGATATGTTTTTATATTTTCTGTTTTTAGAATATATAAGACACAAAATTGTTTATTTAAAGTAAATAGTTAACATTTTAAATTTCATTTTATGAAAATATTTGAATATTTTATGGATATTTAACATAATTTATATTCTTATTATGAATTTTTTTTAGATTTTTTAATATTAAAAATAAGAAAGAATCTGTTTCTATTTTTGAGAAACAGTCAAATCCAAATATTTTTCTCTTAACTTTTAAATATTTTAACGTTTTTAATTTTATTCCATAAAAATATTTCAATAATTAATAGATATTTTGCATTTTTACATTATTTTTTGAAGGTATATCACAGACTTCATTTGTATTTTTTATATTTTCTATTATATGAAATAATCTAAGAGTATGTAAAACAGAATTATAGGCGTGTATCCTAAAAATCTACACAAATTTCAATAGCATTTTCCGGTAATTAAATGAATTCGATAGAAGAAATGTGATTGGCAGATTTTATTCTGAAAATCTTACACAGTTAATAACTTCTCTGCAATAGGAGTTTCACGGAATAGTGTATAGCAATATTTCAAGGGTAAAGCAAAGAAAACCTGCAGAAAGAAAAACAGGAAGTGGTCGATAGAGGAGGAAAATGACTGAAAGGAATAGAAATCGCAGGAAAAGTTGGTAAACTCTTGGAAATTGGGAAGAAAGTTCAAAATTTCACACGTTCGCCTGAAGGAACGTCAAATGACTCTCAAGAAGTGAATGTCTGCTCCAAAATACACGACCAAGCAACTTGCTACTCAAAAAACCCCGAGGAAGCTGCTTGATGGAGTCTCTAAGGCATCAAACAATCTCAATATGGTTTTGGACGACGAGCCTTATTTTACTTTTAATAGAAGTGAATATCCTGGCAACAATTACTACTTTACCAAAGAAGGGCTAGATGTAGATCATGAAGTCAAATTCAAATGACAGTTGTAAGTTTTTGCCGAAATTTTTGGTTTTGCTGGCAATCAGTCCAAAGGGATGTTCAGAGACCTGTATTACCATGGTGCTGGCTCTCCATCACCAAAGAAATGTATGGTAACGAATGCATTCAGAAGATGCTAGTATCTTCCTAAAGAAATATTATCCTGATCAAAAATATGTCTTCTGGCCGTTTATAGTCATCATTCATTTTAAGCTCACGACACAGTTGCTAGGTTGGGCCATTACGAAGTTTGATACATTTCCGTTAATCCAACGTTCCAAACGTTCGCAACTGAGATCAATTGAGAAACGTACCAACTGAAGAAAAAAGTTTATGAAAATAGTTAAAAAGCTGGATTCGCGAAGGAGTTGGAGGAGAATGGAGACCAAACTTCACTTAAAAGCTCACTGCTTCCGGAGGTTAATGGAACGGTTAAGATGAAGTTTGAGTTACAAC